CTCTGCTCTGTCTCTTGTATCTTACTATGATTAAATCGAACCTGTTCAACCGCCGAGCCAGATGTGGGGACCCTGCTCATTTGTTACGAAAAGGAAAAGAAAACGAGATTGCAAGTGGTGACAGTTGTTCGCAGGTGAAGTGTGACCTGCAGCCCTTCGCGTACCCCCAAGCCACAGGCTCTCTGCCGGGTGCCGTGGGAACTCTGTACACTCACTGCAGAGAGAGCCTGGGAGCCCACTGAGCGAGTTAGGAGTCAGTTGCCATGTTAGGAGCTAGCCGCCAAGCACAGATGCCAGGCTACGCGCAGGAGAGTTGGTTTGGATAAAAGCTGTACCCCAGAACGTGAACAGACCCCCCAATCCTCAATATTCACCCAAAAGCAGACCCCATTACACCCCAGACTGAGGGACAGCTCTGCCCCTTCTGACCCCGGCACAGACCTAATCACCCCAGCCCCAGAGAGCCCCCATCTCCATCTGACCCCAGCACATATCCCATTACCCCAGCCCCAGGGAGCGCACATCCCTGTCTGACCCCAGCACAGATCTCATCACCCCAGCCCCAGAGAGCCCCCATCCCCGTCTGACCCCAGCACAGACTCCATTATCCCCAGCCCCAGGGAGCCCTCTCCCCATCTGACTCCAGCACAGTCATTATTCTCTGCCCTCTCTCTGTTAGACCCTGTCAAGCATATGCTTCATTGCCCTAAACCCCAGGGGGCTCTCTCCCCCTCTGACCCCAGCACAGACCCTGTCTCCCCAGCCTGGGAAAATCAAACTCCTCAACCGACACCAGCTCACACACTGAGGGAGCCTGTCTTCAGGGACACTCCACCTCACCCCCTGCCCCAAGCCATCCCGCTTTCACTGGCCTTCCTTTGCCTAAGCATGTTCTCACCTTATTTGAACTCTTTTAAATTCACTTTTAATGTGATAGAGAGCACCGTGGGATTTCCCAGAATGCCACAGCCAGCCAGCCTGGTCAGCGAGGTCCCTCTGAGTGCAGCCCCCCTGGGGACCAAAGCCAGATGTCTGTTTGGGGTGGGCTGGTTAGGGGAATGAACAGACTAGAGGGGAGGAGAGTCAGTAAATCTGCTGAGGCGAGTTAACAGGGGTTAAAGAGACAACTTTAGACCTAAAGAGGAAGAGATGGAGACATAAGGGAGGAGGGGAGGGAGGGAGGAAGGAAGGGAGATTATATCCGACCCCATCCCCAGAGCTGGGAGCGTGAAAAAACAGAGCGAGCAGTGAACCCTATCATTGTCTCCCAGCTGGTGCAGATCCCCAGAGACGGGCTGCAGGTCGCAGCCCTCTCGGAGCACGGCTGCTCGTCTGTGCGAGGCTTTATCAGTAGCTATTTCTCTCTCTCTCTCCCCCCGCTTACTGTCCATTTCCAAAAAGGCGGGAGATGGGCTACGCAGAATCAGCAGCGTATCCTGAACAGCTGCCAGCCACCGGCCCCTATCTCTGCCTGTCTGTGTCTCTCCAGCTTTTGACTGCTGCTGCTGATGCCCCACGAGAAGCAAAACTCCTACTGCCTGGTTAACGAGTGGAAATGGGCCTCAGGCATGAACTTAAGCCCTGTGTCTAAATGATCCTGGATTTCAGAGGGGCTTGGATTCATGGTTCCCGTTAGTCCCCAAAGACTCAAGACTTCCATTGACGTCAATGGGCTTTGGATCTGGCTCTTAACAAAGATGATTGGGTAAAGGCCCTGAGCAGTCATGGGGCAAAGGGATGATGACCCAGGTCTTAGGCATATGTCCTGGAGCCTGAAGCCTCCTTTCCTCCTAAGAGAGGTGCGTGGGAGACAGAGGGCGGGTAAGGTCAAGGTCTCATTAGGGAGCACTGTGAAGGGGCTACCTAGTGGATGGAGATGGAGCCTGGATTTCCTTCTTGCCCTGGGGACAAAGGCAGGGCAGTTGGGGAAGTCAGGGCTGACAGATTACAGAGGCTGCATGGTCATCTCACTCCAGGAGAGAGGTGGATTCTCTCTGAAGCAAAGTGAGGCAGCCCAGGGTCGAGACCCACTTTTCCTGTCGGCAAATATGATGTGTGAAAAAACGCCCATGAAAATGCCCCATTCGTATAGACCCCCCAAGGTTGCTGGCTGCTTACGTCTGTGCTTGCCAGCGTTATCTCAGGGCTACTGCTTCCCTTATAGCAACCTATTACCTTTGCCAAAGTCCACCGGCAGCTTTGGAAACTTCTTGCTTCCCACTAGCCAGAAACTTAACTCTAAGCTTCGCAGAGGGACCCTTTTGTGCCGTAAAATTGAAATCCTGTGAGTTCCAAGTCAGCACCAGGTTTATATACAGGGTTCCAAGCATTTTGCTCATCAGCTGGTGTTATTTTATTCTTTGCTTTTATTCTTTGCTTCTTCTATTCATTTCTAGGATGAAATTTAACTGAGTAACCCGATGGGGAAATCAAACATTTGCAGGTGTGCCTTGGGGATGAAGGGTCTTTGGAGACGCTTTATTCACTCGCTGTAACACAGAGGGGTCTTTACAAACAGCTGCACGTTTATTTTCGAGGTGCTGAGCAACCAGAGCGCCTGCTGAAGTCAACGAGTGTGGCAAGAGCTCAGCTTGTTTCAAATCAGGCCACGAAGAAACAGCAGTGCTGATCAAGGGACTTTTAAACCCTCTCCACCTTAGGGTTTCCTACTCAAGCGTCTTTTCCATGAGGCCCCTTTCCTGATTACAGTGAATAGACCCCAGCCTTTGTCCTTTGTGGGATCTTTCTTCCGCTGATGGTGAAAATTCAAATGCCACCTGAAAGTTGGGGGCGGGGGAGCTGGATTTGATCAAATAAGAATCGGCCCAAACCTTAGCCCCAAACTCCAAGTGAACCTGTTTGGAAGTTTTGATAAGTTTACTTTTGTCATTATATTTCATATGTTGCTGTTGTCTCTGCATTTCCAGGATCCAGCCGGGAAAAAGACAGACCCCTCTTAGGACATTCCCAGTTCTGATTTGCAGATTTGATAATACCAGCTCTTCTCACCCACAGATCTCAGCGTGCTTTACAACGGAAGGTCAGGATTATTATCCCCATTTTATAGATGGGGAAAACAGAGGCAGACAGAGGTGAAGCAACTTGCCCAAAGTTACACAAGAGGCAGAGCCAGGAAGAGAACCCAGCTCTCAGTCCCAGCCCAGTGCTCTAGCTGCTGGACCAAACTTCCCCATATGACATAGGAGGTTCAGATTGCGCAGATAAGGTTCTGTATTGGGGTTACTTTTCTGACTCTTTAGAGGTTCACCCATCACTCCTGGAAGTGTCTCCAAACGCTCATAAAGCCTCTGGATTCCACCTCTGACAGGTCCGGCAGTGAGCCATGCTTACACTGGGCACCAACATACTAAGGTCTTGAAGTCCAGTTTACTGATATCCCTTGGCTGCTCAGAGCCCCATTGAAACACACAAAAAACTTCCTATGGCCCGGGCCTTATGGAAGAGCTCAGAAAGGCTCCTTCAGTCCAAATCAAATATATAGCTTTGTGCCGCCAAAGTTCAAGCACTTAATCGGGGAGCTTTTCCAACTAGCGTGCTCCTCCTTTGGTCAAGGAGGGTATGACTCCACGTACCAGCACTCTGGACCACTCACAACACCCCCCTGTAGTATGCTGAGGGAATTATTTATGCTGGCCCAGCTCTGCTACCCTGACTACCCCTGCATGGGAAGGGCAGGCACCTCTTCTCTGCTCAGGCAGAGAATATTAACACTTTTCCCTAGATCAGGTCACTGGGATCCCAAACCCAGCTAAATTCCTGAAGCCATGCAACCTGGAGGAGTAGGATTACCTCCCCCAGCCCCACCCAGCAAGGGCACCACCCGCCATGTGGTTTCCTGAAGACGATAGGCAGCTCGTCAAAAGCACTGGCAAGAAACCCAAATGTGGTAAAGTGCTGAGATAAGCGGCCCCTTTCGAGTGAGAGAGGTGTTGGCGCTGGGCCTTGGGAGCAAGGCTGTCACTGCACAGGGCCGGCAACACCTTGCTCTTTGCAAAGCGATCAAAGGCACATGCAATGCGGCACCGTGGCTTGGGTGCACCTCTGGCTCAGAAGCAGAGATGGGCTTCCTCTGGCAAGCTGTCAGCCACAGGGGGAGGTGCACAAGTGGCTCAGACATGAAAGGATGCAGACATAGTCCTGTCCTCCCTTTCACTCCAGCGCCAGGTTTATCAGGGAGATGATGCCCATCTTACTCCGCATTACTCACACTTGCAGTCTGAAGGTACTTTAAAGGCTGTTTAAGGGCTGGGCATGCGGCTGAAGTGAGGCATGGGGGAAGCTGAGCCCAGCTGCAAATCTGCTAACCCCAGACAATCTTGAGTCTGGTTCAGTAGACATGGGGTTAATTCTGTTCACCTCCTTGGTGTCATGGCAACAGGACATCACATTCATAACTTCACAACCAGGTATGGGCCTGGACCAGAGTCTCAGATCCAAAACTTGAGGAGGGCTGGATCCAAAGGCAAATTGTATGGCTGCCTCTCTCCCCAGTCTCTATCGTGGTTTACATCAAAACCCTGGATCCGAGGAACCTCAGACTTTGGATGGGTTCAGATCTGGGTCTAAAGGCGGCAGTTCAGGCCCATCTCTCGTCATGATACATGAGAAGAGATCTGGTTACATGGACATTTTGTCTGAGGGCTCATTCCCACAACCCAAGTTGCAAGGGGGGGAAGAATCCTGCACTGCAGCAGCCAGTTTCTGGAATGAAGAGGAGTTTGAATCTCAATTTTCTGACCCCAAATGTCTCCTGCTTACCCTGCCCCCTAATGTTTGGACCAGAAACTGTTAATAGAACATGGCCTTGAGCTCAACTTCCTCTTCTATTAACATCAGCCTGGGAGGAAATTGAAGTCTGTGATAGATGGCAGGAAGACAGAGGTATGGATCTTTGCCCAAGTGGGGGATGTGGAGTTGTGTCCCGAGTGGCCACGTGTGGACCTGTGCACCTTGTAATAAAGTTGTGACACACAGGAGGGTTGATAAGAGACAGAACTTTATTTCCTGGCCAAAGTCACCTGACATAGGTCAGACTTACTGACAGTTAAATACCCTTGTCACGTGAGAGAGGTTGGTATCCACTGACATGCTCCTGAATGGCTGCATGGAAAAGATTCCATGCCATTGAGAGGGGCTGTATAGATCTGCTGTGGGATTGCAATCTCTCGTCCTTTCTCAAGCTCTGCACGGTCAGCATGCTGCAGACCAAAGAAGCTGGATACAATCCCTTGTATAACCAAGACTGCACAGCAACTGCTCCTACCTTTTAAAAAACAAAGGTTCTCCTCCTCTCCTGTTCCTGGGTGTTGGGTTGGACGCTGTATTGTATGGGACCAACAAATAAGTTAATATCCCAGCTCTCAGGCTCACCTCAAAAGCCAGATGACGTGAATACAGCGAATCCACAGCAATCACTGCTTCTGACAGAAACAAGAGTACTCAGGGGCACTCGGAAATCAATGATGCTTTTCAAGGCCAAATTGTAGCACGTGGGACAGTGCTGTTGAGATTTCCTTCCAGAGTTACTGTAAGAAGAATAAGCCTGTGGTTGGCCCAGTTATCTGATGGTGATACCACACATAATGGCTGAGCCACTGGTGTTTCCTGATGTCCACGAGAACTAGGGACAATTGGAAGCTAAGCCCCTCTAGCTGGAACATGTTGATAAATGAACCAGAATGGCGTCCAATTCCTTGCAAGTGGAGAAGAACAGATAAAAGATCATAGAATCCCAGACATTAGAGACAGAAATGGCCTTTATTAGGTCATCTAGTCTGTTATTAATTATTAAGCATCAGCAACTCACTCAGTGCTGTATAGGACACAAAATGCACACAGTCCCTGCCATGAAAGAGCTCAATAGCTCCCCCCCGGGAGCCTAGTGGCCAGATCTTTTTCCAGCCTTGTTTTAAATGTCCCCGTTGATGGGGCTTTCCACCAAGCCTGGCCCTGCCAAAAGAAAGGCTGGGCCATGGACATGTTGACTGTTTCACTGTCAGTTCTCTGCTTCAGCTTCTGGGCTGAATCCTCCACTCCCCTGCAATCCCAGTGGGCTACTGCGATTCACAACATACCTGGTAGCAAGCCGAAGGGTTGTTTTGGGCCAGTGTCTCTGGAATGCTCTGCAGCTGTGAGACAAGAGAGACCTTTTGGTGAGGTGAGCTGGAGGAATTCCCGAGCCAGGGCGGGAAGGCAGAATCATGACTGTGATGTTGAGGATGAGGAGTTCTATTTGATGAGGCAGAGATTATAAAGATCTTTCCCATTAGAGGGAAGACACAGAGTGGGGACCACATGCCCTCCAACTGGTGCTAAGCATCTGTGATGGAGAGACTCTCTCCACTCCTCGGCTCCCTTCACTGTGTATTGTGCAAATTGATCAGAGCAGGCTGGTTGTTCCAGCACATCCACTCCTTTGCCTTTCCAAGAAGGAAAATCTTGCATCTGACCAGTGATAAGACCCACTGAAAGCTTCTTTTCCCGGTACAGCTGAGCTGATCTCATTGTAACCTTCAAACCCTAAAGCTTCAGTCAAATGAAGAGAGAGAATAGAACAGAGCACAAAACCCAGTGAGTCACTGATTAGGCAGGGCCAGCTGACCAGAGATCTGCAATAGTTCTCGGCAGTAGAGACTTGGGACAGCCTGTAGGTATGGGTTTACATGCCTGGCCGATTAGATAGGCCACTGTGACTCAGAAGCAGAGCCACGTGCTGCTTATAGACCAGAAATGCACAGCTTTTAATGTGGGAGTCATCTAAAAGATCCAGCAAACAGCAGTATCCCCAGCACCCCTTTTAACTCACAGATGCACCCTGGGGTTCCAATCTGGCCAGCTGCTGGGTCTTTACAGGGTGCTCTAGGGTCATCCTGGGAGAGTGAGACAGCTAAGAAACCCTGGATTTATCATCTCTGATGCCTCAACAAGAATGGAGGAGAGGGGGAGTGCAGGACTGGGAGCTAGGAACACCTGATTTCTAATCCCAGCCCTGACATTGCCTCCCCTTTGTGACCTTGGGGAAATCACTTCTCTTCTCGGTTCTTCATCTGTGAAATTGGAAGTACAATACCTACCTCACTGTGAGTATCTAGTCCAGCCTCCAGCATCATACAAGCCATAAAACTTCAGCCATGCATTCCTGCATGCAGCCCAATAACTTGTGGCTGAATTAGAGCATTACCTTTTAGAAAGATATTCAATCTTGATTTAAAGACTCTAAGTGATGGAGAATTCACCACTTCCCATGGGAAGCTGGTCCAGTGGTTAATTATGCTCCCAGTTAAAAATGTGGATTCTATGTCCAGCTCTAACTTTATTGGCCTAAACTTCCAGCCACCGGATCTTGTTGTGCCTTTGTCTGCTAGATTAAAGAGTCCTCTGTGTAGGTTTTTATAGATTGTGATTTAATTACATCTTAATCTTTCAATCTAAAAAGACCGAACTCCTTAACTCTCTCATTTTAAGGTGCGTTTTCCAGACCACAGATCATTCTTTTAACTTCTCTCTGGATCCCCTACAATTTTTCCACACACTTTTTTTAAGTGTGAACACCAGAACTGGAGACAATGTCCAACAGCAGTCTCACCAGTGCTACCTAGAGAGTCAATATCACCTCTCTACTCTTGCTCAATATTCCCCTGTTAAAACATCCAAGGATCATTTTAGCCCTTTTTGCCCCTCCACCACACCGGGATTTCATATACAGCTGGATAACAAAGCTGTGGCCAACATATCAGTGAGAATAAAAGCTTAGTAGGTTTAAATAAAAAGCTATTGATATGAACAATTAGAGCATTCAGTTACAGTAGATAGGATTAATATAATAAAAATAACAATGACAGCATGACGGTAAGTCCCCTGCTTTATGGTTCTCTCTCCTCCATGGTATAAGCCAACCACTGATTGATAGGGTTAGGAAGAAACTTTCTCTGTGGACAGGTTTCAGAGTAGCAGCCGTGTTAGTCTGTCCGCAAAAAGAAAAGGAGGACTTGTGACACCTTAGAGACTAACAAATTTATTTGAGCATAAGCTTTCGTGAGCTACAGATGAAGTGAGCTGTAGCTCACGAAAGCTTATGCTCAAATAAATTTGTTAGTCTCCAAGGTGCCACAAGTCCCCCTTTTCTTTCTTCTCTGTGGATAGGCTATTCCGTACTTGCCCACTTGCAACATACTCTGAACATCTGGTATTGATACATAACTAGATGGACCCCGATCTGATCCAATCTGTCAATTCCTATGTTTGTAAAAGGTTTTCAGCAGCAGAAGGCTGAAGAAAGGATTTTTTCCCCCTAGGTTGTGCAAGGCTGGAGGGTAACAATGTCTTTCAACAACTCCAGAAGGAGACTGAAAGTATTCTGGTAACGCGCCGCCCTCTCGTGGCAAAGGTAATCAAAGTTGTGTTTTGTTGGGTTCCTCATTAGCTAGGTAAGGAAGGTAGGGCAGAGATGGGGCTACCCTGCCCCATATCCTAGTACTTGGGAAATAAAGGTGCTTGTTTTGTAGGAGATGTTACTCGATGAATACAGATTGGGACTGGACAAAAGACAAAAACAAAGGGAAGGAAATTAACTTTTTTCAGCGGCTGGGACCACAAGTCTAGCAAAGCATGCTTTTTCAAAGTCTGCCTATCTAGCCATAGATTTTGAAGCCAAAAAGGACCACAGATCATCTAGCCTGACCTCCTGTGTATCAAAGGCCACAGAATTTCACTCAGTTACCCCTATATTAAGCCCAACAACTTATGCCTGACTAAAGCATATCTTCCAGAAAGCCATACAGTCTAGATCTGAACACATCAAAGTTATCCTTCCATGTTTCTATGTGGCCTCCTTCATCATAACACCTGAGTGCTTCCCGAGAGTAAAACTGACAATGTCATGATCTAGTCACACCTAATGAGCCTGGAATCACTGTCATCCTTTACACATATGAATTGAAGCTTTACCGCTCCTCCTTTGAGATCAGTGAGCATCATGTTAACGGTTCAGCTGAAGCACAGGGAGGTTATATGAGCTTGTGTGCTGCCAAACAACAGTTCAATGAACACAACCCAGGAATCTTGACTCCCACTCCTATCTCTGTCTGACTAAATCATGCAGAATATTCCCAACACAATTCAAAACATCTGACACCAAGGTTTTTTTTTTTCCTTTTGCCACAAATTAGAAAGTGGTTCCTTTTTTAATAACATTTCCCTGCTAAAATGAAAAACACTTAGGGATGAAAATGAAAAGTTTTTGAGAAAAACAGATTTTACCGGAAAAACATGTGAAAGGTGAGAATCCTGCTTTTCCCCCCTTCCAGCTAGATTACCAATTTCATAAGATTCTGGGGAAAATGGAAAAAATGACAGCAGCCAAATGCTTCCAGTGAAAACTTAGTTCACAATTTCACATGACTCTAAGTAATATGAATTTTAAGCTATGTACTTGCTTTGCTCTAATTAGGAACATACAAACTGCCATTCTATACCAGACATGGGGTTCTTCTAGTCCCAAATCCAAGATTGGCCAGTACCAGCAGCTTCAGAGGTAAGAAACTCCGCAGTGAGAATTTATGGAATAACTTGCCTATAGCGGAAGTTTTTTCTAAATCCTTATCAGTTAGAGGTGGGTTTATGCCATAAAGCATGGATAAGCTTTGTTTTTTACTGTACCATGGAGATGGATCTTGTACCTATAACACTGGGACTGTTTGCTCATAGCTCTGGATTTCAGTTGGGTCATTCAATAACTTGCTCTTCACAGAGCAAGACATGGGCAGTGAGGCCATGAAACACTGCATGGGAAAAGTTTTCCAGGGCTCCTTATCCATCAACTTGCTCGCAAAGCTGAATAACAGGGCTGCATGGAGGTTTTTTGGGGGGGCCCATTCAAAAACAATTAGAAGTGGAGGAGGCTCTGGAAGCAAGCGGTGTGTGCTGGTGCGTGAGCCCACCCCACACTCACCGTGCAGCACTGGTTCCTGCCCATGGGGCTAGGCCTGGCTCCCTGTGGGCAGGGGACGAAGGGTATCATGACAAAGGGTATCATGATGAAGGAGTGGCTGGGACAAACCTGAGTGTCACTGCAACCCTGTGTGCCAGGTTGCAACAGCACTCGGTTTGGGAGCCCTCTCAAACGGGGGATGAGGCAAACTGCCCCTTTCCCCCGCCAGGTGGTCTTGCTGAAGAATAAAATACCCAGTGCTTATCTAGTGCTTTTTATAAGTGGATCTCAAAGCACTTTAAAAAGGAGGTCATTATCGCCATTCTACAGATGGGGAAACTGAGGCACAAGGAAGGGAAAGTGACTTGCCCAGGTTCACCCAGCAGGCTGGTGGCACAACCAGGAATTGAACATATTCTCCCAAGTCTCAGTCAAGTGCTCTACCCACTAGACAACACTGTCTTAACCAATCACAACTTTTTTCCACAGTTTTCCCCCCATCTCTGAACTAGTGCCAAACAAAGCCACTGTAATATAATGATCTACATGCTTCGTTTCAGAGCAGGGTTTGTTTCCTGAGTTGGGTCTGGAAGGTAACTTGGGAAGGAAAGAAAAAGAATACCTACCCATGGACAGAGAATAAAGTAATGCCAGCAAACCGCACAGATGAGACTTAACTGGGACAGTCCTGTTATTTGCCTAACAGCTCCCCACAGTGATTCAATATGGTATTGCGGTTTGCGAAGTGAAAAGGTGCAGATCAAGGCGTGCAAACTGTTGCTCCAGAGAGTCAAACCTATCAAACGGGCATCCAAAGGATGAGTCATACTGGCAGCATGTCAGGAGCAGGGAGGTTGCACCTAAACTGAAATTTAAATAGTGGTGATCACAGCAGCCCTCAGTCTGTGGAGTGAGCACAAGAGAGGGAGGCTGTGTGTGTGTTGGGGGGTGGGGTGACAGTTGTGGATGTGGAAGGATTCATGTGAGAGTTGTGAGCACCGACGTATTAGTGTGAATGTGCAAAAGTGATGGGCATCACTCTGTGCATGCAGACTCACGCAACAGCGTGTGCGCGCGGGAACCTCAGTACACGTGTGATGGCTTTACCAGTGTCCTTGCAGCTGCTGTCCTCAGCTGAGAAAGGAAGGTGGGGTCTGGAAGAAATACTACCTTGAGCTGTTAACAATGGCCCAGGTCCCTGGGTAAGGCTCTGCCTACTCTGCGTAGCCTTCTGTTCTCTGCTATTGGTCAGAACTTCGGGTGGGGTGGGGTGGGGTGGGGGAGCCCTGTTCTCTTGGTAGACAGAAGAGGCCACCAATTGTAAAACACCAGAAATGTCAAGGGAAGGCAAACAAACCAGCAGCAGGCAGCTCTGCTCTGGGTTCTACAGATACTGTGCAGAGAGCACTAATAATACTGTTGACCTGACAAGATGCCGTGTGAGTCACCAGCTTACTTGGCTCTCCATGATCACCAGGGCAAAGCTGGCACTACCTGTCTAGGCCAAGGCTGCAGCCTAGGGAGCCAGATAGGAACTCAAGGACATAGAATCATAGAATCATAGAATATCAGGGTTGGAAGGGACCCCAGAAGGTCATCTAGTCCAACCCCCTGCTCGAAGCAGGACCAATTCCCAGTTAAATCATCCCAGCCAGGGCTTTATCAAGCCTGACCTTAAAAACCTCTAAGGAAGGAGATTCTACCACCTCCCTAGGTAACGCATTCCAGTGTTTCACCACCCTCTTAGTGAAAAAGTTTTTCCTAATATCCAATCTAAACCTCCCCCACTGCAACTTGAGACCATTACTCCTCGTTCTGTCATCTGCTACCATTGAGAACAGTCTAGAGCCATCCTCTTTGGAACCCCCTTTCAGGTAGCTGAAAGCAGCTATCAAATCCCCCCTCATTCTTCTCTTCTGCAGGCTAAACAATCCCAGCTCCCTCAGCCTCTCCTCATAACTCATGTGTTCCAGACCCCTAATCATTTTTGTTGCCCTTCGCTGGACTCTCTCCAATTTATCCACATCCTTCTTGAAGTGTGGGGCCCAAAACTGGACACAGTACTCCAGATGAGGCCTCACCAATGTCGAATAGAGGGGAACGATCATGTCCCTCGATCTGCTCGCTATGCCCCTACTTATACATCCCAAAATGCCATTGGCCTTCTTGGCAACAAGGGCACACTGCTGACTCATATCCAGCTTCTCGTCCACTGTCACCCCTAGGTCCTTTTCCGCAGAACTGCTGCCTAGCCATTCGGTCCCTAGTCTGTAGCTGTGCATTGGGTTCTTCCGTCCTAAGTGCAGGACCCTGCACTTATCCTTATTGAACCTCATCAGATTTCTTTTGGCCCAATCCTCCAATTTGTCTAGGTCCTTCTGTATCCTATCCCTCCCCTCCAGCGTATCTACCACTCCTCCCAGTTTAGTATCATCCGCAAATTTGCTGAGAGTGCAATCCACACCATCCTCCAGATCATTTATGAAGATATTGAACAAAACCAAAAACATCTGGGTATTTTCTTAAATGCAATTCACCCTAATGCTCCCTGATACAGATGGACCCGTTCTATGCAGATTTGTGCCTCTTGTGGTTACTGTAAGGAAGGTGGTACTGTCTAGTGGTCTGAGCAAGGAGTGGGCCAGGACTCCTGGGTTCTATTCCAGGCTCTAAGGAAAGTGGGTCTATTGGTTAAGCCCTGGGGATCTGGAATCCTGAGTTCTATTCCTGGTTTTGAGAAGTATTGTTGACAAGTGGCTTTATTTATGGATGTTTGTAAAGTGCTTTGAGATTCTTTGGTGAAAGAGGCAATGGACATGATTATTAAGTGTCACTCTTGGTTATTGGTATGGAATTTTTTAAATATTATAGTGGAGTTTCTCTCCCCCACCCTTTGTTGTTGCAGGGGATTGTTTTTGTTTTGTTATACAGAGTTTGTTGGGGGGTCCATACCAAACTGGGGTGAAGTGGTTTCCCCTTTGTGTGTCAAAGAGACTAAATGTCTTCAAACAAACAATAAAACCAGGCCTTAAGAAGGGAGGACAAAGGTGTTCACAACAGATTTCAGTGATGAGCTACCCAAACAGAGCCTTCCCTCTGCTTGTTTTACAAGACTCAGAGTAGTCTTCCTGTTTGTCACAGGGTCTGATGATGCCCTACATTTTCCTAAAATTCCCCTTTATCATAGCACTCTGAAATACTAGATATTTCAAACTATGGGAAGGCAGGCTACCAGTCTTGAGGACAGCAAAAGTTCCAATCAAGTAGAGGGAATTCTAAGGCCTGAGATAATAAAACAAATAGCAATAACAACAAGAATAATTAATAATGCTTTGCATTTATATCACACCTTTCACACAAGGTTCTCAGTGTAAATAACACAGGTGGGTAGATAATATTAACATCCTTCCTGTTGCATAAATGGGGAATCTCAGGCACAACAGTGCCTTGCCTAAGGTCACTGAGTGAATTAGTGACAGAGCCGAGACTAGGTCCTAAGCTCTAAGCACGAGATAACACTCCCTCACTCTGTACTGTACCACCACCTACTTATCCCTCACAAGGGCTCCCTGTTGCATGAAATGTCTGAGTTTCTGGCCCTAATCCTCCAAGGATAAGGAGAAGCTGAGCTATTTTTTGTGGGATATTTCTCTTGGACTTAGAGACAGTTGATGTATTTACACGGAGCAAATGCACCACTGCTCAATGCTCTGGTGTGGTGCTTGATGTTCATATGCTCTCTCAGCCATCACCACTTCCATCTCGCCATATTAGCATTTCACTTCCATGCCTAACCTGGGTTTCACATGATGCTTGACAGATATATGACACACAGTGAATTAACATCCTGGCACCCCAGAGATGCGTCACTTTCTTGCTATGGATTCAGGTGTGCCATGTTACAGGTAGGTACCAGCTGTTCCATGTTATGGATGGATATCAGGTATGCCAAGCTACAGCTATGGATTCAGACATGCCATGCTAGGTACCTCATAAGCCAAGGTGGAGGTAGGGTATGAATTCAGATATTCAGATACTAGGTATGACATGCTACCTCTTGGTTTGATAGTCAGCTATTACTCTTATAAACATTACTGGCTAAGCCTGACCCTGTGCTTTAGCTCCAGGCAGTTGCAGTGAGTTGAGGTTTTCAATCCAGACTACCTAGAGCGCTCCCTCCCCAAACTGGTTCAGACCCATGTCAACAGTTAACCAGCAGATTCCATCATAAGGTACCAGCGCTAAGTCCTCTCACAAGTAGCTTCTCCCATGTCCACCTGTAATCTTGGTTTATTCACGATGGTCCTGCTTTGCAGAAGTGCTGGGCCACTGCAACTCCAATTACATGATGCAGGAGCTCAGCACTTGTGAAAATCATGCCCTGTGTCTTTTGCAAGAAGACACAGACATCTCAGCTCACCAATGGGCAGAAAAGTTTCTACGCCTCCACTCCAGCACTTCTGGCAAGGCCACATACACCTGCCGTGGGCTACAGAAGTTACGGCGTCACTGGTTTGTTGGGTTCTGACACCATCTGCACAACAAGGGGATATATATCCATAATCAACCCTGCACCGAGATCTACCTCCAATAAACAATCACTCCTTGTCAAGCAACCACTTTGAAGTGTCTCCGAGGTTCTTATGTTCGGCCAACCTCTTTGGCACCAATTTTTTCCTGGTCCTTTGTTGTTTATGACATGAGATCTCTCTCTTTCTCCTTTTCAATCTACACTTTACAGTAAAAATGCAACTAAATTGCCTCCTACCTTTCTTGACGATCAAGAAATTTGCTTCACCGGACATGTTTCCTTTCAGCAATCCAGTCTGTTCTCTCCTCCACCCCCTTCTTTTTCCATGGGTTACTGTTTTCGCTACCATCGCTTCTGAAAAACAAGCGCTGCGTGGAAGCTGCATTGCAATCTGAATTGACCGAGATCAGGACCTTTAATTTCCAGCGTGGCAGCTGTTGTTTACATTTCTTTTTTGCAACAAAGTTATTGGTTCCTAACATGCTTCTCTCCCCCACACATGTAGTTAAACAGGAAGCAAGAGGTGGGAGCTGTAGAAGGGGGGTTTCCTGTTCTGTAGTTTCTGAAGCACACAACCGACTTCTGACATTCACCAAAGTTTTGATCACAAGATCTGAACACCCTAGAAGGGAAACTGAAGCTGTGCTCAGAAAGCACTGCTTACTGAGAAACAATCCGATTAATATTTCAAACAACCCGGCCAAGTGATTTAGGCCCTTCATATGAGCTTAATAAGAGACCTTTTTTGTAGATTCAAACTTTCCATCCGTTGGACACTGGAACTCAGCAGCATCCTTTGAGATGAAAGGTTCTGCGTAAATGTCAGATGTTTTATTGTGGTTGCAAAAGTGGTAAAGAAATGAAACTATTAGCCAAACTGAAATAAAATAACTGAAATGGCATCAACAGGGCTAACAGCAACTTCAGGTCTTTCCAGTCCGACATAAATAGCAGATTCCCTTAAGGACAACCCAACTATTCCTTGACCCCTTATGTCAGAAAGGCAGAGAGCTCCTTTCTCATGGGGGTCCTTTCATTTGTACTGCAATTAGAGAGAATGGATAGTTTCTAGACAGGTACCGCATCTCTTGCACTGCACTGCTTTCTGGCGCCGTTGTACCATCTGACTAGGGTACAGATTGAGTGGATCTTTAACACATTTGGGGGTAGATCCTGGGGTCACACCAATTTGGGGAACAGTATTTTGGGAGAAGCAACGGAGAGAAGGGCTACTGCAGAGGGTTACCAGGATTTTCAGTAGCGCCCTGGACCAGTCCCACACAAAGTCCTGTCTTCCTGAGACTGGCCCAGGCTGTGAACTGGAAAAATAAATGAATGGTGCCCTCGCAAATTCCACCCCTAAGCCAGGCTCTGTCGTCCCTTGATCCACAGTGAAATAGTGAACAGTGATACCCTTTAAATCAACGGGTCTGTGCAATTCACACTCCTTAGAGCTGTTTCAGGCTCTATCCAGACTCAGGTAGACTGCTCCCACTCAGGTCCCCAGCCCTAGGGCTCCTCTGCAGCCCAGACTCAGCACGAGCTTCCCCATCGCAGCCCCCATGCCACTGGCTTCCCCCTGCAGCCCCAGCCTCTTGTCAGGACTACAACTCCCATAATGCCCCGCGCGGCCACGCAGGCGCGTCGTCGCCCATGGATTCAAGATGGCGGACACGGTGTCCAGCGGCTCGGGCACGGTAACGGCGGATACCGGGGGGTTAAGTTTCTTGGGGAATGGCCAGCGCACGGGTCAAGGTGGCCGGGGGACCGGCTTATCCGATGCGCGTTGAAGCGGCTGCGGCTCGGGTGGGCGGCTTCGGGGCCTGCTGGGCCGAAGAGAGGGAGGCTCTGATTGGCTGACCTGCTGGAGTAGGCGGGGTTTGGAGCTGGCCTTCGATTGGCCGAAGTGCCTGTAGCCTGCTTGACCGCGGTCGCTGCCAATCACATGAAGATTGGCGTGGGCGGGTCTTAAAGGGACAGTGCATGGGTGGCTGCGAGGCGAGCCCCAGAGTGTCTAGTGCCCTGGCAGGGCTTAGCCCAGGGGTGGGGTCCCGTTGGTCGGGCAGAGCCTGGCACGGGGAGGGGATGGGGCAGAGGAGGGGGCACGTGGGGTGCCGGGGCGGGAGGACTGGGCCCAGCTCATCTGGTTTGCTGCGGACCTGCTTTCCCCTCCCTGGGCCGCTGTTTGCCCCTGGGCACGAGGGGGCTAGTAACATGCTCCTGTGGAAAAGGGGGGCTCGTTTGTCTTTGAGATCCTCCCTCCCGCAGGGAGGTGTAGAGAAACAGGAAGTGTTCTGGCAGTATGGTGGCAGGGCTGTTTTACAAGTGGGTGACTGAGGTACAGAGATATGAATGGGCTACGCACCCACAACTGCCAGTGAATCGGATAGGAGGTGCTGTTGCTCCTTACTTCTAATTTATTTCTGTTATGTATTTGGATTTCAGTAGCAGCCAAGTGCTACCCTCATGTACAAGACACTGGCCCTAACTCCAGGAGCCTACAATCTGAGAAGACAAGCAAACTGAAGGAGAGACTCGTGGTTTATTTTATATTTGTTAAGTCAAGGCAGAGCTGGAGGCCTGGCTCCTAGTATCCTGCTGTAAACACTACACCGCACTGCTTTGTTAAAGTTCCACTTGCAACATGCTCACAGTTCTGCCCCCGAGCACTCCAAATTGTTCCAGTGCTGTGAGTCTAATTCTAGTCCTGTCCCATCTGGTGACTTAGCGTGACAATGCAACAGAATCAGTGTGATTCCTAATGCTTGTTTCCAATCAGTTATTTTGCCAGACTGGAATAGGAGGGGGTGTTGAAGTCAGGGCTGAGGTGATATTGGCAGAGTTGAGGTTTGGGGAACTGGTATTAGACTCTTGCATGATATCCTTCTGTACCCTACTCCTCTGTGATCAAGTGGTGGTGTTTTTCACTTCGTTGAAGTCGTTGACATCTCCTTTTTCTGTGTGTGTGTGTGTGGGGGGATCTGTTTCTATAGAGATCAGGAGGCAAACACTCAACAACGCCTGCAGATAATTATTACTTGGCTCGGAGAAGGACTTTGCAGGTTGTGGTCAGCTCCTTGCTGACAGAGGCTGGGTTTGAGAGTGCCGAAAAGGCAGCGGTGGAAACCCTGACAGAGATGTTACAGAGCTGTAAGTATCTGTGTCACAGGTGCAGCTATTTCAACCAATAAAGCAGAGATTTGAGAGGCCAGCATAGTTTCTGAAATAAAATACAGTGGTCTTAAAATCAGGTATTCCTACTGGAAATAGAAATGAGCTCCCATGATACAGCAACATTGCTATAATGTAAACAGACCTGACAGATCACCAGTAGTTAATTGCTTCTTAATTACTGAAGCTTTACATTGGTCTCTTTCTAAAGTTTAGGGCAACATTTTCAAACAGGCTTCCAATCTTAAATGTATATATTTTGCAAGCACTTATTCATTTGTGTAAATGAGGTAACTAGAGAATGAAAGGATGATCCAGTGGTTAAGGCACTAGCCTAGTACTTAAGAGACTTGAGTTCAGTTTCCTGCCCTGCCCCGGACTCCCTTTGAAACCTTGAGCAAGTTACTTAGTGTCTCTTTCCTCTGTTCCCCATCTGTAAAATGGGGGTAAATAGCTCTGCCCTGCTTCACAGGGTTGGTTTGAAGATAAATACAGTAAAGTTTGTGAGGTGCTGATGCTCTAGTAAAGGGGACCATAGATGTACCTAAGATAGACAACTATGCACCTAACTTTCTGGTTTGTGCACTCACTGCTTAGCACACATGTTTTTCTGAGTTCACAAACCTGGGGTTTTGCATGCTTGCAAATGAATGTGCTGCAAACTTGGTAGACGCTGTCTGATTATTTGATCTTAATGTCTTCCTTAAATGATGCAAAGCCATTTTTTTACAAAAGAATTAAAAGTCCAGCATAAGACTTTGTATTCCAGAAGACCTTTTCTTTCCTTTCTAACCTCAATGAAAGGGCTCATTGAAGCTCTCATCAGGTATAAGTGTCTGAAATCGGGATTAGTCTGATATAAATCTGTAAGCCATGGTCTGTTTCAAATGTCCGTGTTCTGCTGGACATTTCTTTCCAGATGTGTCAGAAATCGGAAGGAGCGCCAAGTCCTACTGTGAGCATACAGCAAGAACTCAGCCGACCCTTTCGGATATTGTTGTTACCTTAGTCGAAATGGGTGAGGATCAGACTGGTTCACAGCAAGCTCCAATGGTTGCATCATGAAGGGTCGGGTGGAGGGTTGTTTTGCTACGCTTGCTCCTGCTGGTATTGGAACATGGCTTGTTTGGCATCTTACCAGCCTGACTAAGAATAGCATTGCCTTTCAGATTGGGGCTAGTGAGATCGTGAGAGAGCTTCCCAGGGCTTACAAGGTCCATTAGTGTTACAGCAGCAGAGTGCTAGTTTCTGAGCAGTTGAGATCGGGTTGGGAGAGTAGTTTATATCTTTCTGGATGATGCTCAGTGGTATTAAATTCCTCCAGATTTCTCTGCGTCTAGTCGTCTTCAGCTGGAGAGAGAGTTACTAAACTTTGAGGGTTCTGGAGAGAAAAAAGATAGACAATAGAACAGGAGGAGAGGGTGGTCTCAATGATCCAGGTCGTAGTGGAAAGGCCTCATTTTCATGCTCAGATAGGTATAAATATAGATTGAGATCATTTGGAGTTCTGTCCTATTCCCATTGAAGTAAATAGCAAAATTCCTATAGACTTCAGTGAGATCAGAATTGAGCCAAGAAGCAGTGTTTTCTATATGGGCAAGCACCCCCGTTCGTTAGTCCTTGTTTTGTTGATACTCGCGTGATTTCTGTTTCCCCATCTCTTGTGTTTCAGGGTTCAATGTAGAAACTCTCCCTGCATATGCCAAGCGCTCCCAGCGGATGGTCATCACTGCACGTACGTGGGTTATCATCTAGCAAGGGAATTAATTTGTACTAAGCAAGTAAATTGGTGCCATGCAAAACAATAGTAGATAAATAATTCAAAGTAATATAGATAGATTGAAATGGTTGTTAAAGGGATTTTGTCAGGTGATGTTTGGTTGAAAACCTACGTATAGTAAAAAGACCCAGATTTTATGGATCCTGAGACCAACAGACTGTTTCCGTGGGACTTTATTTTGTTTAAAGTAACATTTTTAACAAATAAAAATCCCTCTTGAAGTTTTGTATCCTAAACATTGCAGAGTCTGGCTAGTGCACAACAACCAGAAGGTGAAATTGATGACAAACGGAAGAGAAATTGACTAACCTGTGAATCCACAAGTAATTCTGTGCCTGTAAATGTTTTTGGCCATTTCTAAAATTTTGTGGACCGTAAAATCTTAGCTTGGGGGTACGCCCACCAAATGTGTGAATGCACTTGTATTCCGCACTCCACCAGCCCCTCTGCATGCACCTGTCACGACTTCAGTGGGCGATGCTCTGGAACTACTCCCTACAAAGCCAGTCAGGACTCTGGGGGAGCCTCCTCTGTGTGAGCATACTGTCTCCGGGGCAAAAAGCTCACACAGCTTCCACCTTTCTGGGTCTGACCTTGGAGCGTTCAGCATCCCCTTCCACACCGTGTGCTCCCCACAGTGAGTCCGCACAGGCAGGGCTCCTGGGGAAGCCAGAGGGTCTTGCACCCCAATTCCACAGTCAGACGTTATAGCCAGTCAGTAAAACAGAAGATTTATTAGACGACAGGAACATTGTCTAAAACAGAGCTTGTAGGTACAGAGACCAGGACCCCTCAGTCAGGTCCATCTTTGGGGGGCAGGGAGGCCGGAGCCCCATCTGGCCCCCCCTCCATTTCCCCATGGGGCGGCAGGGAGGCCAGAGGCCCATCTGGCCCTCCTTCCATTTCCCCCACCAGCTCCAAAACTGAAACTCTCTCCAGCAGTCTCCCCCAGCCTCCTCCACCCCACCAACTCCTCCTCCAGCCTTTGTCTCTTTCCCGGGCCAGGAGGTCAGCTGACCTCTCTGTTCTCCAACACCTTCAGCTGGCACCTTTGCAGAGGAGAGGGGCCCAGGCCATCAGTTGCCAGGAGACGGGGTGTCGGCCATTCTCTGTGCAGCCCCTTTAGGGCTCTGCAACAATCACATCCCCTTATCCCACCACCTAGATACTGAAGAACTGCATAGGGGAAACTGAGGCACCCACACAGTATTCAGAGAAAACATTAAGAACATTCCCGCTTCGTCACAGCACCCAAAGAGTTTCTGTTCTTTTGAGGCACGATGGAGACGACTACCTACTGGAAGAGCAGTTTATATTCAGATTTTCTGTAACTGACAAATGATAAATGAAGGAATAGGGCCCCATTTGTCAAAATAGTTGGTACTGTTCCAGTGTTACCTCATTGCCCGTTGAACTTCTCTATATGGGGTTTGCTGTCCACATACTTACGTGGTGGGCTGAGTGCAGTTCATTGTCAATTTCAACTAATCATTGTTCCTTGGAGTGATCTAGAATGGAGTCTGAAACGGTTGCCTAGGGGAAATGGTCTGTCCCTGGTTATACTATAGATGGTCTATAGATAGAGAGATCAGCTCCATTTCTGCTTACACTCCTCTTATGCTGGGGATTGGGCTGAAAAATGAGGACTAAGTTTTTATTATTTAACTGCAGCGCCTGTGACAAATCAGCCAGTGACTCCCAAAGCCCTGACAGCGGGACAGAACAAACCCCATCCATCCCACATCCCCGGACATTTTCCTGAGTTCCCGGATCCTCACACCTACATCAAAACTCCGGTGAGTGGAAAAGACTTTACAAAATGTCATTCATCGTCTCTTTGGCTCTGCAGCAGCAGCAACATAAGCACTGTTAATGTAAGCCTGGTACCCATTTATCTAGGATACTTTCTCATTTACTGTGAATCATCTCATTTACTGGGCCACAGGTTTCTGTATTTCTGAGCTCTGCAGCTCGCTGCAAGGCATTGTTAGTTGAGAGCTCTATGTTTTGTTGTGTCATCCACTCACCAATAGTGTCTTTAACTTGAGCTGGCTGTCTTGCATCCAGTAACTCTATTACAGAGCTAGTACCTGCAAGTCCTAAGTCTGCACATCTCCTTGTTCTCTCCCTCCCTGCCCAACAGACGTACCGGGAGCCAGTTTCAGATTACCAGATACTACGGGAAAAGGCAGCGTCGCAGAGGCGTGATGTGGAAAGAGCTCTGACTCGCTTCATGGCAAAGACGGGAGAGACGCAGAGTCTCTTCAAGGATGATGTCAGCACGTTCCCATGTAAGAGCTATCTAAGATGCCCAATGCCAGACACTAAATATAAATGATTTCTTTATCTATCTTGGGTTTTTGCATGGCCCCCATGTAATATTGGAGTACTACAGACTCTTTCATGTATTTATCCTCGCAACAACCCTGTGGAGTAAGGAAATACTGTTAGCCCCATTTTACAGATAGGGGACTGAGTCTCAGGAGAGGTTAAACACTTTTGGGGCTTTTTTAATAGTACGTTTGCTTCAGTGCTTCCTGATAGTTGTTGGCTTAGAAATAACACACATTTAATTGAGAAGCAAGTCTCCTAAGTTGCTAACCGTGCCCTCCTTTCCCCATCCCTAGTGATTGCTGCCAGACCTTTCACAATACCGTACCTGACTGCTCTTCTCCCCTCTGAGCTGGAGATGCAGCAGATGGAGGAAACGGATTCATCCGAGCAAGATGATCAGACGGACACGGAAAACCTCCCCCTCCACATGAGCACGGTATGCCCAGGATCAGAAACTTGGAACTCTCCATTGTGATCCTCCTTGGGTCTGATTATCCTGTCTTGCCCTTTGAATCATCATTGACATGCCTGGGCAGAGTGTCAAGCATTGATTTGGGTACCATTTTATGTCCCCTTTGCACCAGTATAAATGACATGCAAAATGTCATAGATCTTTGTCATGCTTCAGCTCACAGAATAGAGCCTTGTGGCTGTTAATGTTGGATCCTGACTATATGAGGGAACTTTCACTGCAACCTCAGAGGAAAGAGGATTTCCCTAGAATCCTGTACTGTTCCCATAGGCATCTACTCCCAGTAGGAAACAAGGATCATCTCCCTGAGTGCTGCTCATTGTTCGTTATCCCTATTGCTCTTGGTTGTTGTGTATCTCTTTGGTCTGCAGACCCCCTCAGCTCAGCTGTTCCTAACTTCAAATATTTATTATTTTTACTTGGCAGGATGATTCGGGAGCTGAGAAAGAGAATGCTTCAGTGCTACAGCAAAATGCATCCCTGTCCGGCAGCCGCAACGGAGAGGAGAGCCTAATAGACAATCCCTACCTCCGGCCAGTGAAAAAACCCAAGATCCGCAGGAAGAAGTGAGCTGCAGCAAGCTGACTGCATGGAGGAAGAGGAGGCCCGCTGGCTGTCCCACGGAGGTTTCCTTTGCTGCTATGAGTGGCACAGGACAAAGAGGGGAGATGCTGCTGGTTGAGTGGCTGAAGCAGAAGAATGACCTCCTGTACATACCAAACTACACTTCTCCTCCCCCATCTTCCCCCTCCCCCCCATCTCCCACTGGCTTGGCACGGTCAGTAGGGAAGGGGCATGGAAGCCACCAGTCCTCACACTGGAATCAGCCCATCTACTCCAGAGAACACCTAGCTGCAGCTGTGACATTCCCCCTCTTCATGGGATGGATTCGTCCTGTAAGGAGGAGGCACGCAGAAGGGTTTTCACTGCTTAACGTTTCCCAGTGGACTGTGTAGAATGCAAGAATCGATGTGCTTCCACAGGCTGGTGGAGTCCTCATCTAGACTCAAAGAAAGACTTGTCCATTCCGCTCTGCCTGTCTGCATTGGTGTGCCCAGGATTCACACCATGGTCCCTTGTTGACTGTGATCTCTATTTGAACCAGGGATTGGCTTGGGCTGCTGCACAAAGCTCCATATCTTAAACTTCCCTAGAGTTTGAGGTTGTCCAGAGCTAGAGGTCCTGCCATGAAATCTAGACCCAGATCCAAAGTTGCTGAATATTCAGAGTTGCTGGTGTTTTGGTTTGGCCTAAATCCCCTTGTTCAGGAGCAATGGGCAGGGTTATGCATGTGTATCAGGGTCATGAGGGAGACTGCCCAAGTATGCCACTTATTCTAGTGTTTAAATGTGGAGTTGCAGAAAATGTTCACACTATTTTTTAAAGTGCATTTATAGTGAGAAAATTAACTGTGGTCCCCTTCTTACTCAACAGATCTGTCAGAATGGTTCCCTCTTAATCAATAGATCAGCTTCTTGTGTGTCTTTGTCTTATTCGTGCATTTTTCTGGCAAAAGTCCAAGATTTTATGCCTGTTAACCATAGGGCTGGATTTCTCTCTGCTTTGCACAGCATCCGCTAAATTCACTGTGCAGAGGCTTTATTTGTGAGGAGAGTGTCCAGTAAGAGGCAGAAGAATCCCTGGTGCGTTTTCAGTTCTCAAACTTTGTTTATAATGTTGGCAGTTAAAAGTTGATTTGTTTTTTGTTTTTAAATCTGGTAAACTGAGTGCATCTGGTGTGTCACTTAAGAGGAGGGGAATAAAAACGGGAAACCTCAGTGGTTTGAGCATTGGCCTGCTAAACCCAGGGTTGTGAGTTCAATCCTTGAGGGGGCCATTTAGGGATCTGGGGCAAAAATTGGGGATTGGTCCTGCTTTGAGCAGGGGGTTGGACTAGATGACCTCCTGAGGTCCCTTCCAACCCTGATATTCTATGAATTCTATGAAAATACAGAGGTCCAGAATACCATGCTTTTCTGACTACAGCTGCACTTAAAAGCAGTAAGCATGCTGTTTATACCTTTCCAGTTAGAGAATGTTTTCCAGCTGTCTGAATGGCAAGATCTAACAGCTGCTTCAGGCTCCCTTTCGATTCTGTTTGGTTTCAGTGCAATACAGGTCCCCTGAGAGTCTGCCAGCTGTTTGAAACCCACTGTGCTAGAAAATTTGGAATACGGAATGAGAATCAATTGACTGACTGTCCTTATGGTCCATTTTGTCCTGCGGAAATACAGGGCTGTTATTCACTGGAAAGACTCCTTTTCTTTAACAGCCAAAAAACACTGCTCTTTCTAGCATTATCAGTGACCTAGGGATGGTATAAGTGTTCACTCAAGCCTGGATCCTGAGGCCCTTACTTAACTTTCACTCAGCCTTTATTCAGACAAAACACTGGTTGGCTTCAACAGTTTTCCTTGAGTAAGGATGAGTAAAACCTGAGTAGAGAAACTCCATGCTGTAAATCCATGGACCTAGCGAGGGATTGCCCCTAATACCAAATAGCTTTCTCTGACTGCTAGTGCTAAATGAAAAGATGCCTCTGTGAAAATATTCAGCAATGGCAGAGATTACATGGCAGACGAAAACATTGCACCCATAGTGGTTGCAGAAGTCAGAGTGTCAATTGCAAATGGCTTGACCGCTTCAGACTGCCTTGTTAAACAATATTATTGTTGAAAGCGGGAAGGTTTTGCTCTGAAGCACATGTATACAGGTTTAGCTAAACGACTACCCCTCCCAAAATTGGGCTGCCTGAGGAAGAAAAGTAGGCAGCAGGTTGATGAATTTAAAGCATTTTTTAAATTAAATTTTGGAAAAATAGAAACGAAACACTTTAGAGCTATTGAAACTGAAAGCAAAATTGATCAGGCCTTTTTTTTAGAAGGCATATGTGGAAAAGATCCTGAGATGAAAAGTATCAAAATCTCATTCCCTTTCCACCTCAGTAAGCCAGCTCTTTAAGCTCTCTGTCTCTGCAATGAAATTGGTCGTGCTCAGCCCTTTCTGTCACTCCACTAACATCCAGCCTACTGTGCATTTGGGCAAGGAACCAGAAATCTATGGGAAATATCAGTCTCTTGGTGCTGTACCTCCCTTTCTCTGTCCATGTACCCTGTGGTTTATATAGTTGCCCTCTCACCTATCACTCTCCAGCTATCTAGAAATATATCCCTTTGTCTTCCGGTCTCTTCCCTCGGTACTAGCTGGTTTGATGATTCCTGGAACAATTCACCATGCTGCCTCATGAGACTGTGATCAGGAAGCAATGCCCCTGGCAGGCTGGCATCATTGCCCAGCGGAGAGGGTAGGGTGCTGCTCTCTAATGCTTCAATACTTTACCCACTGGAAGAAGTCTCCTTGTCCTCCCAGCTGAACGACAAGTGTGGCATGGGGAGGTGCTAGGGGGGAGTAATCACAACAACCTCTTCACTCAAGCCAATTATTGTGCTGAGACCCTGCTTTCAGAAAGCAAGGGCTCTGTGTGCTGTGGCTGAGATGATGGAGTAAAGAAGTGTCCATGATTGGACGTGCCTTGTTTTTCTGCTAGAATCCTCCTCTCTTCAGAAGACAACCTTGGCCAAAGCAGTGGCTGTTTGTAGTTAATGGTGATGTCACATCACTCCCATGTCTAATAGGCTGAGGGTAAAAACTGGTTGCTAAAGGGAGATTCTAAATGCAAAGGCCGGAGCCTGCCATGTGTGCGTTTCATTCTGTACCATCCAAGTCAGTGGGAGATTTGCCATTGACTTCAGCAGAAGCAGGATTGGGGCCTAAATGCCACCAGGACCAACATGTAAAATTCCTTTTTCCCTGAGGTTGAATTGTTCCATCGTGGGAGGCTCAGAATCCAGCCAGAAGCTCTGAAACGTTATCCCTGGCGAAAGAGCCCTGCACATGCCATTGTCAAGCCTGCCAGTGCATTTGTTGTATAGAAGAATGTATGTACATACAGACATTGTATATTTATAAATTTATATTTTTGTTTGGGCATTTTGGATTAGGCTTTTTTGATGATAAAAACCTGAGTTGGACAAAAGTAGAGTGAAAATAATTATTTTTAAGTTCATAATAAAAGAAGTTCCGTCTCTAATAACAGCGAGTCACTGTTGACGTGTGAACCTTGGATGCACTTAGGGATTGATTGAATGTCTATCCAGGATTAACAGCTTCCCTTGGTTGTTTGTGTTTAGCCTTTTCCTCCGTGTTCTGGAGTAAGAACTCCACCATCCAGGCCAGCCCTGGAATTTTGCCACATTTCTGAGCTGGAGAGCAATGCCTGGTACTGAAGACTATCCCTGCTGTCACTGCACTAGCATGGACTGCATCTGGGGTCTGGTACCCCAGTGCATTATTCCAGTTTTACCCTGATCTAGCACCGTTGCTTTCATTGGAGTTGCCAAAAAAAAAAAAAAAAAGCCCTGGCCCCTGCAGCTCCTTGGGTGACTCACAGAAGAGCCTGAAAGGATCTTGTGCTCCTGTGTGAGCGGAAGACTGCACGTGAATGCAACTGAGATTCAGTGCTAGGCATAGTCCTCTGCACTGAGAAGAAAGGAGTCTTAGACTCTGCGTGCAATTGCTCCTTTCACTACAACAGCACAGGGTAAATGCGGGTTGAGGAGAAAATGGGCATGTCTGCACAGACCGAAGGTTAAGACCGATCCCAATCACCAAGAGTGTTAATACGGTGCTTAGCTATACACTCCCCTCTTAGGCCCCCCTTACGCTATGAGGCAGAGTAACCAAGGCCAAACAGCAATGTGTCATTAATGCAGAATTTCTGTCCCCTGTGCTCCCTGTCCTGTTCATAACGTGAGGCACTGTGCACGTGAACTGGGTGCAGCATCGGGCCCTAAATTAATCCTACTTTATGTAACGCAAGGCGGTGGGCTGTTGTTAGTCTGGACTGAAATCTGCTCAGTTTCATGAAATCTGATGGGTTTCATTTCTCCTCTCTCCTGAGGGAGGGATGGGGGGGAGTATGAGAACGGGAAAGCCCTTCCTCTTTTCTAATTTGCCAAGCACACGAAGTATTTGCCTCATCCATAAATATGCATGCAACGTTTGGTTTGTTCCCAAGGCCAACCACTACCATTGTTGTGAGCTGGGAGGTCATTCTGGGTATCAGGATACAAATGAGCATATCCCACATCCTGATCTGGAATCACTACATCCATCCCTGCCAGAAGAAGTAGTTCTTGAACTGCAGGACTGGGGACCCGTTGTATCTGAATAATACTTAGCTCTTATACAGCACTTTCCAGGTGTAGATTTCACAGCATGTTACAAAGGAAATCAGTGTCATTATCCCCATTTTACATCTGGGAAAACTGAGGCACAGTGAGAGGAAGTGACTTGCACAAAGTCACCCAGCAGGCTCGTGGCAGAGCCAGGAACAAAACCCCAGATTTCCTCAGTCCCAGTCCGCAGTGCCCTATCTGCGAGGCCACACTGTCTCCTTTGGATGGCTATACCGGGAAGGCAACAGGGAACAGGCAGCTTTATCCCACAGCATCTGTGTAGTCAGGAAGAGTCACAAGGGATGAAGAGGCAGAGCCTTGAGTGTAATCACCCCATAACCGGTCACTCTTTCTAGCAAGATTCATTGCATTTTGTCCTTGGAGCCTTGTCAGTTGGGATATAAAGTACCACCACCATCAGACCTGATTAAACTTTTTATGTAACCATTTGATTCTCCCTTGTCTTTCCTTTGTCCCAGAGTTTATGGTCACTGCATTAATCTGCAGATACTGCAGAGACCTAGCTGGTGTCCTGTTCCTGGTGATGGGCTCCCTGACTCCAAATCCCGTTCTCAGTGGGATCAGAACTGGGGGTGTCACTCACGTAAGAATTAGGAGTGAAAGTGATAGTGCTATTGTCCAGTTAGGACACCTTTTCTTCCCAGGTTCACCGACGTGGTTACCCCACCAGGTAACCATAAAAGCATCAACTCGGGGATCGCCTACCTCCATAAGTCTGAGTTCGATGGGAGTGACCTGGACTTCGAATACCTGGGTCCCAGGGGCAGCCCGCCAGAGGACAAGCATTGCTTCGCCATCTTGATTCAGGTGAGCCACCGACGTGCTATCCCACACCTCCATCCTGTGCCCCCATCCAGAAAGGAATTTGAGCACATGCTTAACCTTCAGCATGTATTCGCCCCACTGACCTCATTAAGAGCTGTGGAGACTCAGCGTCTGTCAAACCCTGCTCTGTGACTAAGTGAAGGCCTGGGCTAGCTGTCTGTGCAGACTATTGAGAGAATGCTAGGCACCGGGTGCCTGCATGTGTGGCTCATACAAGCTAGCACAGCCCATTCACTTCAGTACTGAGGAAAGCGAATGACCTTCCCACAAGAGTGACCGCGGTCCTTATTCCCCCCCTTAGGAAACGCTGGAAGCCTTTACGGCTCAGGCTGCAAGCACTGGATACCGGAGGCCGTTGATCACAGCAGCTGTGTGGACTGTCAGAGACTATTGATGCTGCATATGAAATAGCTGAATTAAGGAAGTAAGTATCACGATTTTCCTACAGGGAGAATAGTCTTACTGAAGTCCCATGCTGACTATTCCTTATAACCCTATTAGCCTCTGGGTACTTACAAACTGATGGTTTAATAATTGGTTCCAGTATCTTCCCAGGGATCAAAGTTAGGCTGACAGGTCTGTAATTCCCCAGGACCTTGAGATGAATCCTTTCGACTTTCTCGTTTTGCTTCAATAAGGGTAAAAACATTTCATTGTGACTTCATCATTTCAATTGGTTTCATTTAGACTTCTATGAGTGCAGTGTTACCATGAATTGGTTATCATTTATATCACGGAGCAGTGTGGGTAGCCTTAGGAACTGGTCCCAAGTCAAGTACTGGAGACTATTTGAGGACTTTAGGGTTCTAGAAAAGGCCTAGGGAAGTGTAATGAGTGCATCAGATCTTAAGGCTTAGTTTTCTGAAACGTACCAAAATACCAGAGAGTGACGCTCTGTGTACTGAGAAGGTGGCCCAAGAGATTCTTGAGGCTGGCGGAGAGAAAGACACAGTATTTGATTCTGACATGCATGACACGGTTTTACAAGATGGTTGGTATGAATCCCTTCCAATCAGAATCAGAAGCAAGGGTATTCGTCCTGACCGTCAACAGAGAAACATTTCCTGTGCATAACTCTTGTATGAAGTGAGATCTATTGAGTTGGAATGCTCTGAGAAGAAGAGGAGACGTTGGCAAGAAATAGAAGAGATGCTCGCCTTTCATAAAGCTTGCCTTTGGCTGGTGGAGGAACTGGACAGAACATCCAGTACTGGGGAGCACGCTCTCTGTCATGGCAGTTTAATTCTTTTTGTTTAAGGTCCTGAAAAGACTTGAGCTCTGGCCGGTGGTTCAGCACAGAAGTAGGCTAAGGTGCAGGAAAAGGGGGCGTATATTAGAGATATGCATAATCTAGCTCTCCCAACCAGTTATGCAAGCAGCGATGGGTAGCTGCTCAACAGCCTTGACTTACTTTAGCGATTAGTCTATCTCCAGGCCATTTGTCACTCTCTGAAGGTTAATTGTATTGGGGTTTTTTGCACCTGGCATGCTTGGGTCTTATCAGGGCCCCTCTCTTGGCAAACCTTGTACCCACCCCCTTGTGCCTATCCCTCTCGGTCCTTATCTTTTCATGTGTTGCCAATATAGCCTGAGTGACAAGGGGATTAAAGTTTCTGAGGAGGGCAGTGGATAAACAAGTTACATGAGGTCGGGGGGGGGAGGGGATAAGCACCTTAGGCCAGATCCAGTGACCTAATGCACTTTCATCGACTTTAACAGGAGCATTCCCACTAACTTCAGTGGCCGTAGGTTTAGACTTATAGAGGTCCAGATTCTCCCCTGTGTTGGGGCTTCTTTGAGCCAAAAAGCTGCTGTAGCTAGCCATGGCAGGATCATCCCAGTGTAAGGGTATTTGCCAATGTCTGAAGGCCAGTGTAGCAATCCCTATGCATCCTCTGGTCTCCGTGTCTGGCACAGAGGGCCCGGCTGAGGGAAATGGGTATGGCCAGGCCTTCCCTGCACTCTGATGAGCCTCGGCTGCCATATGGTCTAGGGCCACCTGAAGCTGTTGGCAGCCTGGAGCCCAGAATTGGGGAGGTGCAAAGGATGGAGACACTGTTGGCGAACCCTCCTGGGGTGGTGTGTGTGAGTCCCCACCTGCAGCACAAGATCTAGGCAGTAATACTTTTTGTTAACATTTTAGTTTGGTTCCTTCAAAACCATTTTGAGGGAATAAGCGGTGCCTGGCATTCTGCTGGCCCTCTGCCTCGGGCAGCATTTCGCCCAGAGGGAATTGGTGCTCTCCACTCCCTTAGATAAATGGAAGGGGATCTGGTTCCAACTTCCCACCCCCAGCCTTGGCACTGGAGGTGTTGATGTCCTTGAATAAATGAGCTTTTCTATCTGTTTGTTTTATTTTGTTTGTGCTTGGGGGCCCCGTTCTGCTGTCTTTTACGCAGGTGTTCAGGTTCCACACTGATAAGGACTTGCCTCTGCCACATAAAGTACTTCTGAGTTCCCTCGGTGGGACATTCCCTTGGAAGGAAAGATGGGAAAGGTGTTGCTGTGGGTCGGTGAGTAACTCTCTCTGCCTTTGCTGACTACATCAGGATATAACTTCCCTGGATGGCTGGTCTCAGAGGCAACAGCCTTTTGCCCAGGGACAGTGTGTTCTAGAACTGGTCCTAGCAGGTGTCTGGGTAACAATGTACATGGAATAGTTTTACTTGCTCTGGGATTGATTTAAGCATTGAAAGGCTCTAGTCAAGTTTATTTTTAATGCATTCTTCCTTTTTGCAGCTTTGGCCATTCTGGTGCAGTTGCAGCTGGGTAAGAGCATCTTATTCTTTCTTTTTGTGCACAGGGTCCTGATGAAACTGCAATACAGTTAGAAAGAACAGTTAGCCAGACCTTCAGCTGGTGTCAATCGGTGTAGCTCGATTTCAGTGTAGTTATGGTTTCAGAGTAACAGCCGTGTTAGTCTGTATTCGCAAAAAGAAAAGGAGGACTTGTGGCACCTTAGAGACTAACCAATTTATTTGAGCATAAGCTTTTGTGCTGAGGATCTGACTCACTGATCCCTCTTCGTTATTTTTTAATGTTTCCCTTTGTTGGCTCCATCCATTTTTGCTCCTTCTAACAACCATTCTCTGACTTCAAGAATGGGCACGTGTCTTTCATGCAACTCGGTGTTAAACTGGAGCAAGGGGCAATAAAACCAGTAGTCTTTGTTTTCTCTAATGCTGACTGATAGCTGAGTCTACTCACCCTGGGCCTTGGTTTCTAACTAAGCAAGATTATCCTGTCGATAACATAATTGTTCTGCTCTGGGCCAAATGTTTATCTCTGCGTTGTGGTTGGTTGAAAGGGAATGCCCCGACCTTGGTGATATCTCAAAAATACTGTTTATTGCTGTATTTGTCATTGGGAACATGTGGGAACATGTCATTGGGAAGTTGCTTGAATGGGACATGTGACTGACTCCTAGATGTAGATGCAGAAAATATACATACCAGGGTAGCATTGCGTAGGCAGAATTTGTGAGTAGAAAGTGACTGTTAAATGAAATCCCCATTCACACTCAGGACCGGTGCATCTATTTGTATGATCAGAAGATGAGCAAGAAAAGGCTAGAATTTCCTCTTGTTACCTCAGTGTTGTTCCATTGACATCAGTGGATTTACTCCTGCACCAACATTGGTGAAAGGAGAATCGCACGTCTGATTCCACACTCAATAACACCGGATGTCTCCATCAAGAAACAAACCGACGTTTCCATCTTAATATCTGGAATTTGCTTTTCTCCTGCCAGGCTCTGCCTACAAACTTGTGTGTTACTTCACTAATTGGTCTCAGTACAGGCCAGAACCTGCCAAGTACTTCCCAAACAATGTGGACCCAAATCTATGCACCCACTTGGTCTATGCCTTTGCAACTATGAATCAAAATAAGATTGCCCCATATGAATGGAATGATGAAGATAGACTCTTCCCAGAATTTCAAGCACTAAAGAAAAGGTCAGCACTTTCCAATGTACAAGATTTAAAGCAAATTTTGCTTTTAAAAAATACTACTTGTTGCCAGGTAAAACTGAGATTTTTCTATTAGCAATGAAGAATTTCTTTATTAGAGAACAGGAATAGTTTAATAGATATCTAGCAGCAATGCTTTCATTAAGGGCTCTGTTCCACAACCTTCATGGGACTTTACTCACACAAGTAGTCCCGCTGATTTTGGTGGAACTGTGTAAGTGTGCACCAGTGTGAGTCAAGGTTCCATGATCAAGTCCTAAGGGTCGATTGTATTCAACCCCGTTTTCAGATTAGTATATTTTGGATGCATTAGGTTACTCATGGCTGGAATGTGGTCTGACACAGGAGTCCAGTTCAAGTGTAAATTATTATTATTATTATTTTTTTACAAAAACACAGTTTTTAAACCAAAGAGGAGGTGAGGAACCCTGTGGCTGGGCATTGCACAGAAATTTAGGAGCTCTCGGTTCAGATCCTAGCTCTGACAGAGTTGGTCTCTCTGTGCCTCGCTCTTCCCATCTGTAAAATGGGGATGCTAACATTTCTTTTTGTCCCACCCGTTGTGTGTCTTATCTGTTTAGACTGTTGGCTCTTCAGGGCAGGGTCGGTCTGTTGCTATGTGTTTGTACAGCACCTAGCACAATGGGGTTCTAATCTGGCTTGGGGCCTCTAGGCAACGCTGTTACCAATACTGAATTATGATCACCAAAAAGAACTGAGTAGGTTTTCTCAAATTAAAAATAATAACAACAACAAAAAGTTCACAACTGAGCCAAGTCTCAAACGCAACCAAGTGACTGCTGCTTACTGACCTTCCTTTTTCTTTCCTCATGTCACAGAAACGACAAACTTGTAACCAGCCTGGCTATTGGAGGGTGGAACTTTGGCACTCAGAAGTGAGAACTTTTCCCTTGACTTAATGACAAAGATGATGCTGAGACCTTGGCAACATACAGCCTCCTGCTGCTCCTTTGGAGTCAGTGAGAGCTTTGCTATTGACTTCACGGGGGATAGGATTAGGCTCACGATGATGATGTGGATGACCAGATGTAAACTGTGGTAGTGATTGGGTAGCTGAAGAACTGGGTATTGATGATACTGTGGTTGCTGGTGACAATGGTTGAAGAAATAAGGAGAAGAATGGTGATGAATTATGAAAATATAGATAGTTAATGGTGATTAGACATTCATGATACGAATGGCAGGTGATTGTGGAAAATGGGTAAGTAGGGGATGGCGGGGAAAAGTTAGGTTGGATATTGCAGTGGTTGGAAATCCCAAGCGGATAATGGGAGCATTAAACAGAAAATGGTAGTGTAACGATGATGAGATAATGAAGATGGGTCCTGATCCAGTGGGAGTCTTTCCATTGACTTCATTGAATGGTGGATCAAGCTGATAGTGAAGATAATGGCTAGGAAAGTGATTAAGGGTACTCTGAGTAAACAGATCATGCAGAGAATGGGATGGTGGTACTAGTGGACACACGACAATGGTAGAGAACAGGTTGGGATGAATTTTGGTGAGGATAGTTTCACGGTGGAGAAGGAGGAGGATAAAGATGAGGGCAGACTGAGATAAATACGCAGGTCTTCAGACTCTGGAGTTTGGTGATAACAGAACTTATTAATTGTGGATTATTGGGTACACGTTGCTAATGACAGCAAGGGAGGTGATTAATGGAAGTGGGTTTTAATTAGATTGTTATGTATTAAGACAATTACATTTATAAAAGAGGAACTGAACAAGTCTGCTTTGCATGTGTTGGTGGAGAAAAAAAAGGGGGCCAAGTTGTCTAAGAATTATCCTCTTCCAGATTCACTGAAATGGTTGCCTCACCAGTTAATCGTAAAACGTTCATTGACTCGGTGATCGCATACCTCCGTAAGTTTGGGTTTGATGGGATCGACCTGGATTTTGAATACCCAGGTTCTAGAGGTAGCCCCCCCGAGGACAAACATCGCTTCACCATCTTGATTCAGGTGAGTAACCAGTGCGCTATCTCAGTTATTCTGTATATCAGCTGGAGTGAGTCAGATCTGAACCACCAAGCTGTGTATCAGCAGTGTTTACATTGGCACTGCATTATTTTAGTTCACCTTTAGTAACTTGAGTCCAACTATTATGGACATATGGTATCAGACCTTGTTTAAGATACTGTTCCATCTTGCAAGGGCTTTGGGGACAATGAGACATGGCAGGAATCTTGTGAAGATCTTTAGGAGTGTATAGCAAAGGGCAGGTTGCGGGGCTGTTTCTAGATAGATATTCCTGCTAGACATGAATGACATTTTTACAAGAATCACTGCCAACGCTCTCATTTCCATTTTCAGGAAATGCTGGAAGCCTTTAAAGCTGAGGCTGCAAGCACTGGACTCCCAAGGCTGTTGGTTACCGCAGCGGTATCTGCTGGCAAAGGAACTATTGACGCTGGATATGAAATTGCTGAGATAGGGAAGTGAGTGGAGTGGTTCCCGCATTGTGCTTGACATGCGATTGGCCTGGTTCTCTGATGCCTTGCCCCTTGCCTCATCATTAGTACCCATGCAAAATAGGTGGGTGCAAAACGCTACTAAATCCCCATGGTAGCATTTACACTCCCTTTGGGCAGGCGTAAGTGACAGCATAAGGTTCTAGGCAATGGATATTCAGGCCCAAAGTCTTGTGCATCCTTTAGGTCAACGTGGGATGATGTATTGTCTGCTGACTCATTTGTCCATCAGGAAATCGTATTCCTAACTGTGTTTTCTTTGTTTGTTTGTTTGTTTCATTTAATTTAAACCAGGCTTCTCGATTTCATCAGCGTGATGTCCTACGACTTCCATGGAGGCTGGGATTCCTTCACAGGGCACAACAGCCCGCTCTATGAAGGCTCTGCCGACTATGGTGACTTCAAGTACTTCAACTGTGTAAGGGAACAGACAGCAAATTCCCTTTTTATTTCTCCAAGAGGGAGCTGAGATAACAGGCACTGGTGGTAAAAAGATTTTCCATTTGGATCTCTGCAGAAATATGCCATGGAATACTGGAACGATAACGGTGTCCCAGCCGAGAAGCTCCTGATGGGATTCCCCACCTACGGGCGTACCTTTAGGCTTAGCAGCAGTGACACATTTGTTGGTGCCCCAGCCTCTGGGGCTGGGTCTTCTGGGCCTTACACCCGGGAAGCTGGTTTCTGGGCTTATTATGAGGTGAGAAGCTTGAGAAAATTACATTTTGTGGCCCAGATCCTGAGCTGATGTAAACTGAGCTAGTTCCATTAGTCCTGGTTCTCAGGCGAAACTAAGATGCCTTTACTTCACTCTGGCAGTGCAAAGGGGCCGTATGCTCACTTTAAGGGCCCCTTTACACCACTAGAGAGGTAGAGGGTCCTGAGTGTAAATGAGAATCAGACCCATTGATTTCAATGGAGCTATGCCAGTTTGTAGCTGCTGAGAATCTGGCCCATAATTAGTGTTTTATGGCATGTACTTTTATGATTTATAGGTGACATATTTCTTTTTTGCTTAGGCTGGTTGCTGAGTTTCTATCTCTTGTCTAAGCTTCTCTCTCTCTTCCTGTACAGTGGACAGATTCTCTTCCCACTTACACTAGTGTTGTACTGCAGGGACACTAGCAGGCTAGATCTTCAGGTCTGGAAGAGTTCCATTCAGCTCTGGTCCCAACCGGGAGGTGGGGCAAACGTGGCTGTACCCACCCCCCTTTGTGTCCACTTCTTCTCCCCTATTCCCCAGGCCAATGCAGTCCCTGATGCCAATTAAAGTAAGGCTGCTCTAAGCTACTCTTTGCTGCTGCAAAGCCTAAGGGGCTATTCTGGGGGATTGGAGTATAGCTGTGATGTGATCACCTTCTCTCCTGTCAGCTGTGTGGCCTAGGGGCTGCAAGGAGGTGGTAAGGCAGGGTACACCAATTCTACACCACCAGAGTAACTCCTAGCTGACCACTTAGGCTGCTGGATTGTAGACTAAAAGGGGGAACAAGATCTAGCCCATTGACTTCACCTTTTGGCTCCTGAACGAGGCCCACTGTGTGTTAACCCCCTGCTGTTTTGGCAGATCTGCACATTCCTAAAGACTGCTCAGGTACGATGGATTCAGGACCAGAAAGTCCCCTATGCCGTTAAGGGGAATGAATGGGTTGGATATGACAACATGTGCAGTTATAAACACAAAGTAAGACCTTTAACATTTTAAAGTGAGCTTTACTTATGCTCTGCTCCTACTATTAGGAAGCACTTGGCTTAAATTCCGTGCATTTCAGAGTCTCTCGATAAAGGGAGATATTTTCAGCCTCGTTCGTATTGCACTAAGGCACTGTGAATGTGATGGGAATGTTTCCCAAAGCATTTTTTTTGAGCTGGGGCTTTACTGCCTAGAAGTTCTGTGATCTATGGCTGTCTAGCCAATTACTGGTTTCACTGTGTGTGTGTTGAAATTCTTAAAGGAATTCTTAAGCAGCTGTGGACATTTTATTGATAGTTGTACGAATTTTTTTGATAGGTCAAATACTTGAAGGAGAAACATTTTGGAGGTGCCATGGTGTGGGCTATTGACCTGGATGATTTCCAGGGCTCTTTCTGCAATGAAGGAAAGTATCCTCTAATAAGTGAGCTGAAGAGACTCCTCGAAACAAAAGGTAAGAAGGTGCTAATGAGTATTTCAGGCCTATATAATTAGGAGGTTCAGTATATATTTGTCACATTGCTAAGGTGAAATTCCCTCCTCTGCAGAGGGCCAGAACATGGACTAGTTCTCAATATAGGTATTAAGTAGAACATAAGCACTGCCTGAATTTTTGGTTTTGTGCTAGCCCTCTGCACAGAGGTGAGTGTCACCCCAAAAACACATATTTGTAGCTGGATCTCCTGTTTCCATTTGCACGCCTATAAACATGCAAGTGCTTGTCATGTGGTAAATATGAGCTTTAGAAAACTACTGATGAGGCAAAGTTCAGCATTTTGCTATGTGTGGTGTCTTAACACTGAGCCATTATATAGCACTTTACATTTTGGAAGAGCTTTATAAGATAGTTAATCCTCACAACATATATAAGGCAGATAAATATTACTTGCCCTGTTTTACAGATGGGGAAATTGAGGCTCTGAATTGTTACATGACTTCGTCAAGGCCATGTTAATCCAGAGGCAGGATTAGACGTCTAGACCATGTCTCTGAAACATGCTTGTCAGTGTGTGAACCATGCCCATTCTGTGCCTGATCTGCAGAGGATGTGAATCTGCTACAGCTCTTACCTGTGGGGGTGGGGCCAGTCCTTTAGCTCAAGTTATACAGGATCGTGCTCGTAGTCCAGGAGCCCTGGGTGATAAACAAGATAACAGCCATTACAAATTATGAAGCATAGCGTCCAGAAACATAGACAGGCATACAGGAATACATGTGTAGATGAAATCTGGCTGAATCCATGTATCTTAATGACTTGTTAATTATTCATTTTAGATCCGATTGTGCCCAACTGCCCGACAGACATCCCTCCACCAGACCCCACGCCTTCTCCAGATGACAGTACAACTACCTCTCCAGTTATTCCCCCAACTGAGGGGGGAGATGGTTCATTTTGTGCTGGTAGACAAGATGGTACCTATGCCGACCCCAAAGATAATACAAAATTCTACGTATGTGCTGGAGGCAGGACTCACCACTTTACCTGTGCAGCTGGCCTCGTCTTTGATGAGAGCTGCAAGTGCTGTAATTATCCAAAATATTAACCCCAGTCCCAGCTCAGAACAAACACTGATGAGTAACATACTGTAACTCGAATCATTCCCGGCAGAATCCCTCTTGCCCTATTAAAAAAAGCCAAGTGGTGGCAATAAGGCACTAATATGTGTGTTGTCTGTCTGCTGTGTGATTGGTGACCCTGCTTTTAACAGTAATAAATAATAATCTCTTTTATAAAGTGTCTTCTCTGTTAATGCATTGCAAAACTACATAGGCAAGATATTCAACACAGGCTGAGCCTGGCTTAGTCAGATATTTCCTAAGACATCTTTCTGTGGTTCAGATTTGTGTCCTTCTCCATCTCAGCTCATATAATTTTTAATAATAATAATTAATAGTTATCTCACTTTTCTTCCCTCAATCTCAAAGGAAGGTAAATAACCTTATACCCATTTTACAGATGGAGAATCTCGTGCACAGAGAGTGGAAGTGATTTTCCCAAGGTGACGTAGCAAATTAGTGCCCAAGCTGAAAACACAACCTAGATCTCCTGATACCCAGTACAGTTCCCTATCCCCTGGGCCGACCAAGTCCTTATTTTGGGATTTACTCGACCACTGCGTGAAGATGTCTTGTGGAACCTTCACCAGCAGGGGCGGTTCCACAAGACATCTTCACGCAGTGATCGAGCCTGCTTGGAGAAATGTGGGAAATGAATAGCTGCGGTTGTTGTATAGCACAGCCTTGCACCCACTGGCACACTCTACTACAAGCTATAGCTCCTAATGTGTGTTAAATCATCTCAGGAGTGCCCCTTTAAGCGTCAGAAGACTTCAAGATAATGGAGGTTCCTGCGGCCGTAAGTCACAATAGAACATATATTGGGAAGACAAATCATAGTAGCAAATCTCATTGAATTCAAGTGGGTACCTTGAAGCGTACATTTACCTTTCATAATGACCCTAGCTACCTAACAGACATAAAAAGCACAGCTTGGCCCTACTTCTCCTCTCACTGACGCTGGTGTAAATCCTAGAGTAACTTCACTGGGCCAAATATAAATAATGAAGATAATAGGAGCGACACAGTGGTAAAACTGGTGTAAAGGAGCAGAGACTCAGGCCCCTGGTCTAGAGGGGTTCTTGACAGGCCTCCTCAGAAAGAAGGTGATAAGCTCTATTCTATTCAGTTCTTATGCTGTGTCCTCATGCCATAGACTCTAGTTTAGGGTATTTTTAATTCACAGAAAGGACCCTAACAGGAAGACATCTTTGCACCTGCTACCTCTGCTTTTCGGACCAGTTCATGGAACGTAATCGCCAGGAGATTACCCTGCTGCTGCAGGTTTGATTGCATTGGCTTCTGCCATCTGGCTGGCTGCCTGTAAAATACCAGCCTCCTAAGGAGTAACGTCTCATCTAGCCCATTGCTCTTGCTGTTCAAAGTTTTTAATGAAACCGAGGGAAATCACAGGTTGAGGGGGCTACTGTGTCATGCATGTAACTGAGGGTGGAACTGGGGCTGAAAAAATCAGACATCATCCTATTGGTCCAAATCCTCAGCTGGTATAAATGGGTGTAACACCGCTTCAAATCAACAGAACCATTTACCTTTTACAACAGCTTAGGATTTGGCCCACTGACTTAGAAGTGATCTCTGTATTTTCTTTTAAGACCTCCCATTGCTGTCTTCCCTTGGAGGCTGGAATTGAACACAGGAACCAGGCAGTCACTTCACATGAGTTTTAGGAATGGCGGGTTCATTGTCTGGGTGGTTATTTCCACTTGCGGGTCCATCGTTGCAGCAGGGAGTAGGCGTTTGGTATTTTTCGCCTCTCTGGACAGTCACAGTGTAGGCTGCAGACGAGATATCTCAGAGGAAGCATTGTTTGCTTCCCATATTCTCTCCTGAGAGTGGCAAAGGGAAAAAAAATCTGGGGGATTTATCATGACCTACTATGTAAACCTGTTCAATGGAGATTTGGGCCAGATCCCATGTGGGTGTAAATGGGCCCAGCTCCATTGACTTCAGTGGAGCTATGTCAGTTTACACCAGCTCAGGATCTGGCTCAAGATGTCATTCAGGTTGCATGAGTATAAATGAGGCTCAGTTAGGTCCAATGGGTCAGAACTTGACCAGGAGCCTTCTTTGTCTCTAACATCTTGCCATATTCTTCTACTCATCCATGAATTTTAGTCTTGGTGAAGCTGAGGAAGAAAAAGTTGAGAAGGGTGAGATACAATCATATTGGACAAAGGTGTGCAATTAGAACATGACATGGAACAGAGTGGCAACGTTAGAGGGATCTCGGACAAGATCAGGGAGCTGGAGGTATTGGTAGATGAGAAAAGATGAAGAGAGCTAAACAACCTATACTGCAGTTTGGCTCCACAGTGAGTAAAAGGAGGAGCATACTAGCCTACAAACGTATGAAAGGTGTAAACCTTGAAGGAGGAAGCGGAATGATTTAGTGCGATACCCGGTGGGTTATGCTAGGAGCAGTGGAAGAAAGGGAAGATGAATATCAGGACAAACTTCATGCCACTCTACTTCTGTAAATGGAAGGAGGCAGAAAATTAGTAACTGGGGCACTTAACCAACAAGGGATGAGAGCAAGTGGCAAGACATACATTTCCATTCTGCCTCTATTTCTCTGTCTTGTCTGTTTATACAGTGGTTTCTAGGGCAGAGACTCTCTCTTGCTATACGCCCAGCACAATCAGTTAAGCCTTTAATTGTTATGGTAATATTTAATAATAGTAATTAATGCATGGATAAAAGTGCAAAATAATGGCACCATGGTACATTGCACCACACTCTGTGATGCCTGGCGAGCGCTCTATGCTGAATTATGCAATGTAAAAGTGGTGGAGGAGTGAGTGGGCCACTGACTGGCCTGGTAAATGGGGTAAAATTAATTGGAACTGCTGCTCTTACCTAAGCTGGTGACTTCTTTAGAACAAGTTTTACCAGCTGCCTTTTTATGGCGCAATTCTGTTATGGTTATTTCCTGAAAACATTGGTCTGATCATGGGGTTTATGAGGGAAAAATGCAGGAAGTGGGGAGTTAACAAATGCGAGCTCAGTATGTATATTTGTATGGGAGTGGATATCCTTCCTGTATATATAATAGGCAGAGGCAGGCAACAGAAAGAAGCAGGTAGCTACCCTGGGTTATGCTGCAGGGATTTGCCAGGTCAGTGGTTGTATGCAGGTCATATCAAGGAGGGGTTCATTTAATTTTAGCTTTGTTTTGTGAGTTGAATTGTAAGTTGTGGCAACAGGTCTAAGTTGGGGATACAGGAGACTCTGGAAAGGTAACTTAAAATGCATGATTTATTTTATAGGTTTGGTTTTAAAAAGATTTTTTGCCAAGTGCATTGAGAAAGTATGTGTCTTATAATCGCACGTTATACGCTTGCTTTTATGTGTGCATAGCTGCTGCAGTTATTCCCATGTGTTTTTAAACTATTGTTAGCAGAGCACTAATATTTGTTCTTCCCTGTTTCAGTCCTGTCCGCACTAGGACCACATTCTAAAATTTTACTTCATTGTTATGTCCAGTTCAGCTCCAATAGAGGGGACAACATTGGGAGCAGTTGTACTGGGGATCACTGGAATTTCAGCTGCTGGGTCACCTAGACTTATACAGTATTGAGAAGAGTTGCATCAAACATGGGCAGCTGCCTGGACCCCTGTCTACCCTGCAACTTCCACTGTTGCTCCCATGTTTCCTATACAAGTCTTTTTTTTTTATTTTTTCCCCCTTCCCATTTATAGGTAATTCCTGAAGCCAAAATCTGAAGCTGAGGTGGGGAAGATGCTGCTATGGGCTGGTGAGTAAATCTGATCCCTTCCCAATGACACTTTAACCATTACAGTTGGGGAATCCTTGCCCAGGAATTGAAAGCTGTGGATGAGACTCAAACAAATCTGTTGCCTTTCTAACGTGTTATGCAGGAGGTCAGACTAGATTTTCTAATGGCCCCTTCTGGCCTTCAAAATCTATGAAACAGCAGCATCCTACATGGGAATGTTTCAGCAAAGACTTTGCTCTAATGGATTTTGGCTACCTTATGCCTAATGGGTAAGATTCACCCACATGCAGAAGGCCTATGCAGCACTTTGAGGGCGCGAATGGGGGTTTAAATGGTGCTGGCCCCTCTGCGCAGGAATGAATTTCACCCTAAGTGAATGGGTGCCAAGAGTACAAAGTACCAGACTGACTTATTTTCTAATGCATTTTCATTTGGTTTGCAGGCTTGGCCATTCTTGTGCAGCTGCACCTGGGTAAGAATGTCTTGTTCCCTGTTTAGGTGTCTGGGGGCCGATAATATAAATAGAGACAATGGGTCAAATCCCCAAGTCCCTGTTCAGTTTTCACCCATTCCTATTACAGGCAAATCTGTCACTGAAGTTCATGAGAATTTTGCCTAAGTGAAGACTGATGACATGATAATCCTCTCCCAATGGTGCAACTCCATTGCCTTCGAAGGAGCTACTCCTGATTTACACCACTGCGAGAGTAAAATCAGGCGCTGAATATGGACTTTAGGACTGGCAAAGGATGAGAAAGTGTTACATAGTCTTGACAAGGGGAGGGGAAGCTTTATACTAACCTGGTGTTTCCACATGGAATGAACATATGTATAACTTAGGGCAACTTTGAATGCATCCGATGAAGTGAGCTGTAGCTCACGAAAGCTTATGCTCAAATAAATTTGTTAGTCTGTAAGGTGCCACAAGTACTCCTTTTCTTTTTGCGAATACAGACTAACATGGCTGCTACTCTGAAACCTGTCATTAGGGCAACTGGTGTATGTTTTACTTGTTGGACTCACATGAGGCCCTTTATTGAATTATATATGATCTAAAACAAGGGTGCTGGTGCTGGGGGTGTTGCCATACCCCTGGCTTGAAATAGTAATAACAACCCAAATACATGGCTTCCATGGTTTCCATCATCAGCACCCCCACTATAAAAATTGTTCCAGCACCCCGATCTAATGTGAAAATGGTGTCATTTGTCTATATTGCCAGCCACACACACCTGTAATAGATAAAGTTCCAGATGTCATATTGTCTATGAGGATGAAACATGTGTGTCCTTTCCACTACATTGTCTGCCGTGAACTGGGAAGCAAGAGAACCATGCAGAAGCACTGATGGGAATCTGGAGTACTGACTCCATTTATAGT